TTTTTTTAAATTTGAGGATCCTAGCTGATCACTTTTTATGCCTTGGCCATATATAGAAGAATTATTTTTTATGCCCAGAGATATTTGTATGATTTTGTGATAAATTTTAGGCGTTTGAACATAATTTACACTATTCAAAAAAGAATAGACAAGGACATGAACCTGTAAAGGCCGATGACCAGTGATTCTTGTCAACACCTATGCTTCCAACATTAGGTGTATTTAACACGTGAAAGTGGGCAAAAGTGCGAAACTTGAATGAAGGGCAACTGAGATTTCACCATACTATAGGACATACTGGTGTTTATATAATGACGAAAAAAATTAAAAAATAAATAGGACACAAGAGACCCAATGGTCATAAAAACTATTTAGCAGGAGGCTAATGAATGTGAACATAAAAAGAGGGCAGAAAACAGAGAATTAAGCAACGTTGACAGGGCAGAAACAGAGAATCAAGCAACCTTGACCCGGCAACCCGTTCAACAGCTAGTCGCTTAAAAACATTTGACTCAAACAAAACAACGGTCAGAGATTTTTCCCATACCCTGTCTTTCCGAAAAGTAGTCACAGATTTCCCCAAAAAAGCGTTAGACCACTTCGTTGCATTCCTATGCCGCAAAACGTATTCTTTCCCTCCTTCACCGTTCCTTGTCGGCCCCTCTCTCTCAAATTCATGAAACCCTAAAAATTTTTCGTTGTGTTTTCAACATCCGTCAAACGCAAATTAGATACCGGCTTGATCTTGCCATTGAAGCATTCCAGGTTTTATTTCAGGTTACATATTTGAGTTCTATATATTAATGTGCACAAGTTAACATATGATTTGGTGCTTGTATGCATGCTATGAACCGTTGTTCAATAGATTCCGTATTCTGATGCTTTAGCTGCATTTGTATTTTTTTGTGGGATATATAGAGCTGCATTTGTTTGTAAAGTTAAAAGTTTCTCTTTTTTCTTTTTTTTTTTTTGTCATTACCCATTGTAATGTATTGTTTATGTAATTTGGAAAAAGTTTTATCACACCCGGGTGGTTTTGAAAGTCCCCAAGTAGTTTTAAAAATATTAGTCCAACTGACATTTTTGATTAAAAACGTCATTTCAACCAACCAACGTCTGATTGTTGAAAACGTCGGACCAAAATTTTCTCTTCAAAAGTCAAGGCAAAAAAGATCCAGAAAATATCATTTACACTGATGTTTTCACACGAAAACGTCAGTTGGACTGATGCCTATAAGAAACGTCAGTTCAGCTAACTTTTTCATTTTTTTTTGTTGTCCATTCATTCAAGATTATTTTTTTTGAGCATTTTTCTGATTTGCATTTAGTTTTTTTGGGTCATTTTAACATCCACCCATTAACCTACCACACCCACTTCCCGTATCTTTTAATTAATGGCTGCTAGTTTAATAAGTGATTGATTGAATTATCCAATGGTTTATAGGCGTTATACTTGATGAAAATGAAACAACCAGACATTCAAACAGTTTCAGAATCACTAGAAGTACTAGATTAATCACATATGGATTGTGGAAGAACAAAGGCAAAATAAAGGTCATGGTCATATGACATGAAACATATAACAAAGATAGGTAGTTATGGCGTTTGGCGATCTGCTTTTGGCTATTGTACATTTGTTGGTGATAAACTGGTTACTTGGCGCATTAAGAAATAGAATGTGGTTGTTTGTTCTAATGTAGAGTCTAAGTATCGTGTTATGACACATACTGCGTGTGAGATGTTTCTTTATTTCGTGATATGGGACTCGATGTGTCTTCCCCTATGAGAATGAATTGTGACAACCAAATAGTTATTTTCATTGTAAGTAATCCAGTATTTCATGAGTATATTAAATATATTGAGATGAATTGTCATTTCATTCAAGATCTCTTGATATAAAAGGAAATCATCACTTCATATATCAAATCTGGCGATCAGCTGGTTGACATTCTTACTAAGCCATTGGCTCGGATTGCGTTTAGTAGTTTATGTTCTAAGTTGGATATTTTTTATCTGTATGCTGCAGCTCCGGGGAGAGTGTTAGAGTTATTATTTCTCTATTAGGGGTAATAGTGTAATTATCCAAGTATTACTCAGTTATAAATAAATGAGTGTAGGACAACCTAGTCTACACATAACTGATTATTCCTTTCTTTCTTGTCTCTTCTCCTTTTTAATTCCTCCTTTTGAACTCTTGTATTAGATTTATTATTTCAATTGGAATAATGAAATTAAAATTGTTGCGTAAACAACACCAATAACGATTTTACTAATAAATAAGTTAATATGATACAAATTGTTATATACAATAATGAGGTAAAGATAACAAAATAAAGGTAACCAATATCTGCCAAGTTCCATATGGTGGTGCCTTCCTCTGTCGCTTGGGCAGTTGTCCCTCTTGCAAATTTGGCATCTCTTGTGTCAAAGGGTGCGACACTTCGACATCTACATGATATGTGCATGGTGCCCACGACCCCTAACTCCACGCCCCCTCATACTCTAGGCCCTTCTCTAGCCCCCCTCTATATAAAAGTGAAGGCTCCTGCGTTACTCCCTCAACTGGACACTCATCATCTCCTAAAGAGTGGTCATATGAACTAGGAGAGGTATGCCTATGGTTCATCGGTGGAATACACACAACATCATGGTGTATCTAACTGAGCATCGATCTGAATCTCTAGTATTAACTGCATCTAGTAAAAGTGTGTGTGGTGATCTATTTGATGGCAGTGTAAGCACGTATGGAGAGATCGGTGGTGGAATAACCGATGTGACTCTAGGTGTCACCAACGGTCCAAGTGTCTCAGATGTAGGGGGCTGGTGAATGAATAGGTGGTGTGGTAGTATGGGTCAACAATGGAATAGGTTTCCCTAATGAGAGGGCAATGAGTAGTGGAGTGTGAAGGTAGCGGGTAAGGGATATGATGAAGTGAAAATAGTAGTCATCCTTGATGAGGAGGTCTGTCTTGGGGCTCGTGTCACCGCCGTTCATTGTGGCATACGTATACCATGTTGAGGTGTAAGAATCGGTGTTGCAACTAGTGGCTACCTAACGTCTAAAGGTGCTTGGAATGGACGTCAGTGCTCATGAATAGCCTCCAAACACTGGGAGCTTACATCTCTGATTCCGCTCATAGCCACTAAGCAAGTACTCAAGTCTAGCTGACCATGAACTGTATCTTCAACACTGTCTACTCCTGCACAACCATACGAATATAGTATTAGTCAAATATCAAGTAATGAAGGTAACATGTGAATATGAACTGACAATTTAGCAACACATACCGATAGTTTGATGATACTGTCAACGGGCAAGAAACCAATATTAGGCCTCAAAATATGTGGACCGATAAGAAGACAAGTGATACGCCAGTACCACACCATGTATGGATCGGTGGGATTTATCAGACTAACAGTGGGCTCTCTTGCAATAATAGAGTCCCCCCGATCATCCCCATGTTGATATAGTGCTGATGAGCAATAATCTAGTTATATCTAGGCCTGCCATGCCCGTTAGTAGTATGAAGCTCCATAATCTAATCGCACGCAGCGGGTATCAAGTGCGTCAAATGAAACTATTGGAGTACACGTTCTCCACATATCTTGCCCCATAAGACAATAGTCAAGTAGGGTAGCCAACACATCCACCGTGAAAGACTGTGATATCATTTGTAAAATCAAAATGTTAATTGAATTGTTAGAAGACATTAAAAAAAAAATTTGGCAAAGTTTCCCCAAAAGCAATGTTGTTGGAAGTAACTTTTGAACCAATTTTCTTACAATACATTAGAAAGGGGAGTGAGGATTGGAGAGAGAGGTAGAGATAGGGAGAGAGGGGCAAACAGAGAGTGACAGAATAGAGAGAGATAGAGAGGAAGAGAGAGTGGCATACAGAGAAAGAAAGAGATATAGTACTAGTAAGGGAGGGAGTGTGGACGAGGTGGAGGAGTGTTGGTGGTGGTGGTTGTGGATTCCACTACTTCAATGCGTTAATGAGCACTCGCTAGAGAAGATAGCATCGTCACTAGGGTCGCCGGAGTGGCTGGATTTCCAGAATTGTGGTGGATTTGGTGGAGGAGTGGTGGATCGTGGCTTAGGGTTCAGGAGTTGGGGGAAGAATAAAGGCTGATGGATTTTAAATTGTTAAAAATTCGGTTGGACTAACTTTTTAAGCTTAAAAATGTTAGTCCAAATTGAAAATTTTGGTCAAAGAAAGAAGAGCGAAAGGAGAAAGAGAAAATATTATTATTGCTAAACAAGTCAATAATACAAGTTAAATATAAAATACACAATATAGACCCTTATATAATAGGGAAACAAAGAATAAAATAAATGCCCAAACTACCCTTAATATTAATACTCTAACACAAATGACGTTTACATTCAATCTCTCTTTAAACTATTCTTGACTAAATGTCTTTTTTTAACTTGAAAACATTAGTTCAACTGAAGTTTTATTCTAAAAAACGTTTGTAAATAGTTCACCTGACGTTTTTAAGTTGAAGACATCAGTTGGACTGAAGTTTTTAAAAATTACTTAGGTTTGGGAAATACTTTCAAAACAACCTGGGTTTGGGAATTTTTTTTCAAACTACCATGGTTTGGTAAAAAGCTCGTAACTTGGGATTTGTCTAAATTTTAGGTGTTCAAATAATTTTTTATTTAGAAAGTCTAAAAAGGCTTTTGCTTTTCATAAAACCTCTTGATTTTCTTTGTCCTTTTAATGCCAAGGGACTCCAGAAATTTCTTTATTTGGCAGCATCACAATATTCATTGTTTATAAGTGGAACAAGGCTTTGTTGGGTTGAGTAATATGATCTATTATTGTTTTCTGGAACAATATGTTCTGTTGTATAGACCGCAAATCTTCACTATTATTATCTTTTCTTTTTTCTTTAAGATTAAAATAAATATTCATTCTTAACTAAAATTTGTGCAGGTGTGTTTCACCAGTGTTGGAGATTAGGATTATTGGGCAGGGCATAACTGAACATGCCGAACAATTGGTTGTTTTTTATGGATCTTGATGGGGGATCATCTAACATGCTTCCAATGGATCCACTTGTGCCGCATACTCTAGGGGCACATTTGTTGTCCCACATTAGTTCATTTGTTGACAGTTCTCTTTACCACGCTAGATTCTTGTATGCCCCTGGAAGTTTGGCACTTCGGGAAGCTTTCAACTCTGTTTCAAAATTTGCTGGTGCTCTACTATTTTGGTTTGCTAGTGGGTCGAATTCCAATATTAATCGCCCATTATCCGGAAACTCCGCTTCAGATAATAAAAGCTATAATTCTTTAAGACAAGTCAAGCAAATTAGTTCCACAAGACATAACCTTAAAGGATTTCACTATAATTCAAGATTGAAAGGTGTTGTCCCTATGATTTTTGGTAAGGTTTCTAGTTTCACTGTGGGAAAACTGTGCAAACAAGCTGAACAACTACAATATTTGCCATTGCTCTCACTAGCTGCAGCTCTGGTACCACCATTGGACAATGTGTAAGCTCATTTTTTTTATACAACTGATCCATTTTCACACCATTTTTAGATTTTTCAAAATTTTGGTTCATTGAAGGACATTAAGAATTTTTTGTGCTTTCTATTTTATTGTTTTTCTCGTAGATTTTCCTCATTTTTTTTCCCTTGCTGGTCATCAGATGTCCGAGTGTACTAGCTATTCCACTAGAGAATTGTGATATTGAAACAAAGAAATGCATGAATCAAAGGCTCTGTGATGTTGAGCACGGGGAATGCAGTGATCTTTCCTTCCGCAATTTAAATTGGACACATGCAGTTGAGCCTAGAACCGGCATTGAGTTCCCTACTATCTTGGAGAACATATTATCTGCAGAGAATCATTCCAAGTTTTCATCAGAGGTTGGCATGTGATTTTTATAACTTTTGTTGGTGTTCTCTTGAACATGATATCCTCAAAAACTGTAGTCATGCATTTATTTGCATTTTCTTGCAGTGTAGCAGCTTCCTAGATTTGTATGCTTATTAAATTATAAGATTGGATCTCCAGTTATTGACAATATCTCTGCAGATTTTGTTGTCTTTGCATTTTTTTTCTTTGTAGCAAACACTGATTGTGTAATACCCATCATGCAGATCTGAGACAAATTTCAAGATTTTAGACATTTATTCCGGTGGTTTGTTATTCATTTTGCACATTTTTGCACAATTATATGTCATGTCATTGATCTATAAAGTCTCTTTATAACTCTTGTCACTAATCCTAACTGGCCATGACGAAATCTGCAATACAAATTTTGCACAATTGCTTGGTGCCACCTTCAGCTTTTATTAAGTTCATACAATTCTTCTTGGGTTTTCTTTATATTCGTACTTAATAACTTTGAAAGCTTTGATCAAACTAAGAAGAAAAGACAGAGGAAGAGAAAGAGAAAAGAAGTCTGCTACTCTAATCTTCCATCATAATAAAGCTAGATAGAAGAGTTCCTATATATAAAGACTAGAATACCCCTTGACAAGGCTTTTCACTATTTCTTTCCAGAGAAGGTTGCTCATCCAGCCCAGCGGATGGCAGTGTAATGCTGCCGAAAAATGTAAGCCCCTTTTTCTTTATTGGTAAATATAGGTTGGGAAAACTAATGAGAAATATACATAAACATAAGCACAATCTTAACACTCAAGGATTGAAATATCGTTTCGAAGTATCATTTCAGTTAGCTCAAAAACGAAAATGTTTCAAAAACTAGTCGGAAATGCAATAGAAATACAAAAAAAATATGGAAACACAAATACAATCCATTTATTTATAAAGATAAGCTTTATAATTGATTAATTGATCATATTTATTGGGTTAACATCCATTTATACAAGATAACATCAAGTTGGAGGAAAAAAAAGCTTGACATGTGGCGGAAATCACTTAAATAATAATAAATAATATTCTTTCATTAATATTAAAATCATTGCATAAACAATTTTTACACATAAATACTTAATTTTAGATATTTAACAATTAAGGTATAATTAAATAAATGACTTGCAGTTTTTTAATATACCAATTTAACAAATAATAATAACATAAAAGAATAATTGCAAAAAAGAAAAAAAATAATGAAGGGAATTAAATGAAATTTGTTATACTTATGTATACTTAAAAATTATAATTTGGGGTACTAAAAGAAATTTGTCATACTTATAAGCTAAAACAAAAAAAAAAATGTGAGTGACGAGGCAATCTCGACTCTCAATGAGAAAGAGAGAGATAGGAGTGAGAGAACATACGATCGACGACTGAAGATGTCGAAGAGATAGAGAGAAGAAGAAGACGAACATACCTAGCTCTTGTTCACATTTGAGTATTCTCTTGGTATTTTCTACATCATATTTTGTGATTGATGACCTTTGGTGGATTGTATAATTAATTGTGGGTTTCTTGATGGCGACTTTGAATGGTAGTAATGGTGGTACTCGTGGTGGTGATCGTGAACCGCCTCATAATGTCTGTCGTGGTAGTCTATGCACACAACATAGTGGATGTGGTGGTCATTCTCGGTGGAAGTGCACTTATTGTGGTGGTACAGGACACACTAAGAAGTAAGAATTATTGTTGGGATAAATATAGGAGATCAATATATGCTAATCAGATTTCTAATGATACTTTGGGTTCTCTAGTACATCAGACTTTTACCAGTGGTCCAATTGTTCTACTATTTATTTTCATGATGATCTTTCTTTTCAGTTTTGTCAGTTCATCCAACAATTATCTTTACTTTCTATACATTTATCAGTTCCTACTACCGGTCTTACTAATAGAGGTAATTTTATATGTGTGGTTGATCAACCTTCCTCGTCATTTTGGATTATTGATTTAGGAGCTAGTGCTCATATGTATAGTATTTCTTTTTTTTTTTTTTTTTAATTTTCGTTCGTCTAACTCATGTATTGTGTTGGCTTATAGTTCTTTTCGACTAGTACATGAGACTAACAATCTTTGTCCTACTCAGTTTGTTTGTTCCTAATTTTACCTTTAGCTTGTTATTTGTGAATCACCAAGTCTTTACGGTGTTTAGTAACATTCTCTACATCTTCTTATATTATTTAGGATCCTAAGTTAACAAAGGTGATTGTTTTAGGGCATGAGAGCAATGGCCTTCACTACTTAGATGCTGGAGGTTATGTTCCTACCTTGAGTGCTACTGTGTCTCCTCTCCAGCGGTACTCCCAACTAGGTCATCCCTCCTTTCAAAAGTTGCGTTAAGTTATCCCTAGTTTGAGTTGTTCTTCCATGTTAGAATGTGAGAATTCTCAATTAGGCAAGCATCATCTTAGTTCTTTTCCTCCTAGTTCAAGTCATCAGGCTAGTCATTTTCTTGTTATTCATATAGACATTGGAGGTTCTGCAAGAGTCAAATGTATTTCTGATTTTTAGTATTTGGTAATCTATGTTGATGATTTCTCTCGTATGAGGTAGTGCTTTTTTATGAAATACTAATCTAAATTGCATAAGATTTTTATTATTTTTTATAATAAAATTCTAGTTTAGCTTGATAAACGTATTAATGTTCTTAGGTCTGACAATGCCCTTAAGTATACTCCATTGTTTATAAAAACATTTTGTGTTGACTGTGGTATTATCCATCAAATTACCTCTCCACACGACTCCCAATAAAATGTCGTTGCCGAATGTAAATATCACCATTTGTTGGATATTGCCCGCACCTTTGTTAGGTATCATTAGTTATGCTTTATGCTTTATGCTTTATTTTTAGCTTTGAGAATATTCTTGTACTTTGTGCCTATAAATAAAGTTTGGTCGTAGTTGTGGAATTAAACACACTACTCTCTTCTCATGTTTTTCTCTCTTTATCTCTTCTCTTTTTTCTCCTAACCTGAACAACTTCACAACTCAACTTGGTATCAGAGCAACGATTAGATCTAACCTTTCAAAGTTGTTGGAATTCATCAGAAATTACATAGCGCAACCAGGAATGGGCTTCGTCAGCATCTGATGTGCTGATGTCAGGATCGACTCAGTTAGATTTTTTTTCGGAATCACATGGGTAGACTCGAAATTTGATGCTAAGAATTATGATTATTTTTCTGAATTTTTTTGAAGCCATCTAGCTGGTCATTGGATTTTTCGAAGGTTTTTTTGGAAAATTTTGGTATTACACCCAGATCTACTGTTTTTGCACAATTTGGGCACATTTTTTGGACCCAATCCACTCAATCTGGCTCGACTAGGGTAGAAGAATAATGCCCAGTGGTTTCCCTTGCATCTGGAGTGGATTGGAGCCATTTTTGGCTTATTTTTGGTGTCGGCAGTTGGAATTCCTACTGTTCAGCGATTTTTTTTTGCCTTTGGTTGCCTCACAGAGGCTGGTTGACCTTGCTTTTTGCCCGAACAGCTACTGTTTCCACTTGTTTTGATACCCAGAGGTTGTTTGCCTACATTCTGCTATTGTTGGAGTTATTTAGTGTGTTTCCTGGAGATATCTGGTGGGTTGTTATTGTTGGAGTTGCTGGTGGTGCTGACAGCTTTTGTCTGCTGCTGGTTATTTGTCCTAAGGTTGGACCTTAAGCTTTCTTTGTTGGTTGCCAGCTATTGGGTTGCAGCTACTGGTTGTTGGCCAAGAATTGTACCTTGAATTTTTTTTCTTTTGTTGCTGGCTGCTGATCCTTGAATTAGACCTTTTGCTTTTTTTTGGGCCGTTACTCACTGGTTTTTCTTGGTTGCTAGCTATTGGCATTCGATTGGGCCTTGGGCTGATGTTCTCTTGAGGGCTTTTATCTGGTTGGGTTTGCTGGTTTTTAGCCTCTGGTTGGGCCCCCTCATCCTTGGTCATTTTTTAGCCTTAGTTTGAGGCCTTTTGCTGCTGTGGTGCGAATCTTGGTGTTGTATCCAATTTTGTTGGTCGTGATTGCGTCATTTTGGTGCTTTTTTGGTACCATGGACTAGGATATCTTGAAGTGTGATTATTGTGGGAAGAATAGACTTACTAGGGAGTTTTTTTGGAAGTTGAATGGAGGACTCACACGTGGCCGAGGTGATAGTGTATGGTTCCATGCACACATGACTGAATCTTCAGAACATCCATCTCAATCTAGTGGCAGTACTTCCACTTCCTTTTCTCAGGATGAGATGCAAACTCTCAAAAGTCTAATGGCTCAGCTTGATATTGACAACTTGACAGAACTTTGAACAATAAAACTGAGAAATTATGAATTCCGAGTGAGTGCCATACCATTGCAGGGCTCCTCAATATATAGAATCTGTATTCTATGTTTGGTATCTTTACAATTAATGATTCCCTTTGATTGGGGAATTATACAACTTCCTTTGATTGGGGACTTACACCGCTAGCATATACATACAAGGAAATATTTATGATTCCCTTAGATTAAGGAATCAACCTAAAAGAAAACAAGAAATCCCCATTTGACTGAGGAAACACAATTAGTGTTGACTTCCCCTCAAATTAATGCTGGTGAATTAACCAGCAACAATTTGTTAACTATAAAATTAATGACAATTCTTAGGCAAAGCTTTGGTGAAGATATCAGCGGTTTGAAGCTACATAGGAACATGAGGAAGAGTAATTATGTGCTCATCAAAAGCATTGTGAATGAAATAACAATCCTCTTCAATATGCTTGATCTTACTAGGACTAGTATTGTTAGTATGAAGTTTGGTTGGAGAAGTTTAAGAAAAACCCAATTCTGCTAGAATTCGCTAAAGCCAAATACTTTTTGAACAAGTACTAGACATAGTGCGGTATTCAGATCTGTGGATAACTTGGATACTTGCTTTTGTTTCTTGCACTTACAAGAAATGAGTGGTCTTCTGAGGTACATACACCAGTTGGTGGTAGACCAACGAGTATCTGGACATCTGGCCCAATCAGCATTACAAAATCCTTGTAGATCAAGAGGAGCACCGGCCGAGAAATACAAACCACGCTCAATAGTACCAAGGACATACCAAACAATTTGCTTCATAGTTGTCAAGAAATGATGACGAGGAGCAGTCATGAATTGGCTCATCAAATTAACAACATAAGATACGTCAGGGCGAGTAATAGTCAAGTAAACATGACTCCCAACCAATTGCCTATAATA